TAATAGGGTACTATAATAGTTACCTGGTTGTATGTTACTAATAATACTATAATACTATAATACTACTACTATAATAGGGTACTATAATAGTTACCCTATTTATCCGTGGCTGCGCGCGGCACTAGCTGCCCTGTTTGTATGTTACTACTCTCTGTATTAGCTGCCCAGTTTACCTGCGACCATACTCCGTCGTAACTACCCTGTTACCTGACCAGCGGGCAAAATGTGGTTGAAGCAACGTTGAAACAACGCCGCAGATCGACGCTGTTCTATACGTAGATATAAGCAATTTGATTTGCAAATCGAATCAAGGTAGATAGGGCCATGGTTGTTTCAACGTCGAAACATCAACGTTGCTTCGAGGTTGACACGCCAACGTTGATTAAACGTTTTTTCGACATTGACAACATAACGTTGATTCAATCCGCAAATTCAAATCATTTTTATAGCATTTCCAACATGCCGCCGTCGTGCACCCGCTGACACAGTACGTGGCTACTATATATGGAGTATATCAATATTGATTGATTCTTGATATATATAATATCAGAAGTAGATAATGGGGAATTCCCTATTATCCCTATTATCTACGCCTTTATCTTCTTATTATTCGTATTATTCTTATATCTTTATTCTTATTATCTTATTATTATTATTATTATCATTCTTACCCCTTTACCCTATTATCTACTTCTGATAATATATACCTAAAAATAGACGAACTAGTTGAACTATATCTTTGATATTATTTTCCTCGTCGTGGATTTTGAATGAATAAGGGAATGGGATTGACAAGTTAACAGAAACGGAGCGTGTCTAACGAACAATAGATGTCACATCAAACATTAATGAGGTTCAAGGACTCTCGCTGCTCGCTCTATACATGCCAACTATGGCTGCTTTACCAGCTGCGCGCCATCAATAACAGTCAGCTAGCCCGACGATTACCGTTGTGTTCTCTCGTTCGGCATTCATTTCAGCAAAAACACGCATTCTGCAAACGGGAATGAATACGGATAAGGGGAAACATATTAGATTCGAGCACCGTGAATGGCCAACCTTCAGTACAGTGGCGTTGTTTTGAGATAATTACACAACTGCCTCGATCGAACGAATAAGAACGAACATAATGACTGCGATGTGTTGTAACTAGAGCTGAGAGGGTCTATTTCCCCCGGGGTACTGCCGGAACGTACCCTGGGTACGGTCCGGTATACCGGAACGTACCCTGGTACTATCTAATATGCCGAACCGTACCTCGCCTACTCCACTAACGAGTCTAGGGAATCGCCTACGCCTACTCCCTAAGCCGAACCCGAACCCTAACCCTAACCCTAATCCTAACCCTAACCATATCAAATAGTGACCAGGGTACGTTCCGGTATACCGGACCGTACCCAGGATACGTTCCGGCAGTACCCTGGGGGACATAGACCCTATGAGCGTAACTAGACTTAACGTAGAGCACAGGTAGCAGAAATGTTTCCGATAATGGTTACTTTGATGTTCGATGAGACAAATCTTGATAGTTTGGTTAGAAATCAATTATTGTAGCACTTCTGGTTACGGGACGTAGTGGTTTTAGAATCAAATCAAATATATTATGGTCTGTATATTAATAATCTGCCACTTACTTGACATGACAATGAGGCCGAAGCGAGAGAATCGGTTCTAAGATCGAATAATCGCATGACGTAATCTGGCAATATTAACTGTAGCGCGACGCATGTGTCCGTGTTATTAAGGACACATATTTGCGGTCTAATGACGTCACATATCGCACGAGAATAATCTGCGTTGCAATTTATTATAAGTACCGGCGATTACCGGCCGATAATTAGGAAGTAGCAACCGACTGAAATCGTCTGCTACGCTGAAAAAGATCAGCAAAAAATGCAGAGGAAAATTTTAATTTCAATTAGTGATTAAAAATTTTAACGCTGGCCATGTCGCATAGTTCTCAAATCCTGATAATGATATATATATATAATATCGCAATACACCGGTGTGTTAGGCGCTTAATTGCGATTGGTCACGTCAGCGTTACGTGGTGCACAATGTTTCCCTTTGCCTTATTCAATAAATAAATACAATATATACATATACTGTATAATACACAATGTATTAAGACACAACACAATAAATAATGCTTTATATCGGGAGTATAATTATAATCTCGGAATCAGCAAGTCAGTTTGGTAATCTGAGGTTACCTTCTCTTGATAATATCAGGTAATATGTAACGTTGCGAGTCAGTGCTGTATGCGTAATTGCATGTATGTGTAACGCTACGCAGTCACACATACAGCAATATTACAATCACCAAATATGTCAAAAGCTCAAAGTATGTACAGTTCGAGACAAGAATTGTCGATAGAATTAGATCAGTTTGGACTACACGATAAGCATCCGAGTCATTCTACTCATCATTCCCAGACTCTACAATGATAGTACTATAAATGAGTGAACAGACACGACGCAATCGTAACAACCAATCTATAGTATAATTCCAAGAGCCAGGGAGTGTGCTTTGTATGCAACATGGCGTTTAGGTCCCAGCCGAAGGCGCAAAGATCTTCATGCTGATATCAAGCTGAGCTAAGAACGTCCGGAAATAATCTGCTTGAGTAATTTTAAGCCGTCGATGTTGCAGCAACTTCAATGTCTAAACACCGGCAGAACCGAAGTAATTACATTGACTTCTACGTAATTTCACGTCGCGTTTACTTCAGCGCCGCACGCCAACCTCACTCAGCGATTAAATTGCTTCTGCCAATCTTATAATTCATCTTTGTTCACTTCTCAACATCCGCGTGCATTTTTATGGTCGTAAGCGCACATAAACGCACAGTCTTGAAGAATGCTGCACTAACGTGATCACGGGAGCGCGTGCCTCTGTATCCTAAAACCCCGAAAATTACAACCGCCTATCTGTGAGGACCGCTATCATAATCATCCCTATCCCATCCACACGTCAAAGAGGGGGGAACTATACCTCGGATGTGACCCATCCACGTTTGTGGACGTTAGGGCGGGACACCGCGGAGCAACTATAGTAACTTGTTTGACTGTCTCTCGGGAGGCGTGTGTGCCGGGTGGCTTGTCAAACTGTCGTGGCTTCTGTTAGCCCGACCGTGTGGTGAATTGAAACCGCATCGCATATTATATATAGTCTACATGCTTGCAAGCGCAGCGCAGTTAGGGGGCACATATGGGCTTGAAATATACGGCGAGTAAGGTTTCACCGACTACTGCACAGAATGTACTCAAGCGCAGTCGCTTAATAGATACCTGTACGTTATAAGGATCATAGCGCACGTGGGTGTGCCACTTGCCCCAACCGTTCTGTATTAGAAAATACCGACACCGCCCTCTACCGGCGACAACAGGAACTATCGGGCTGGTAACGTGACGTCATCAGCACCGCGGCGAGCGGGCGGAGGGAGGCTTTGATTGTCTTCTAGATAGCGGAGGGGCGCAGCGCCCACTGAAATATTATTGTTTCGCGTACGAAAATAAGCATTCGGCAGTCAATCTGCAGCCAACACAAACGCAAGTATAAGAGAGCAAAAATTCGCAAACGCGATCGAGCGAGGGTAGCAAGTATATAGAGATCGGTGTATGGGTGGTCATCATTTATATTGTTTGTTCAGAATCGTTGGCGTCGTTAGGCCACCGAGATCGGCATTTCTTGTCACGGTGAAAGGAGAGAACATGCACATTCTAGGGCAAGTGACGTCGTGTTTTTAACGCTAGCTACACAACGTTAATATGCTTTCACTTTTAAAGGGGTTCGTCCTTCGCACAGGTCAAATTATTTCGTGCATTTTTATGTAGCTGTGTTTGCTGCATCTTGTTCAAAACATATGTCTAAGAAATTGCCCTGCGTCATATACGGCCTAGCTAAATACCATTGCTGTATAGGTGCCAGTCTGATATTGGTGATAGCACATGTAGATATTGCTGGGAGATGGCGGGGCGATGCGAACCGAGTGTTAAGACTCTAGAGTACATGCTTACTCTAGAGCATAAACAATGTTTATGGCGTTGGGTGTATACCCTCGGTATTGGGTGTAACCAAAGAGCTTATGATAATATAATCATGTATTGGGTGTAACCATGTATTGCATTTGCACAGACAGTGCCCTGCATTGAATTTGCATGTACAGTATTTGCAGATGCACGAAATTACATTTGCTATGCAAGACTTTACAGATATTTTATTAAATGTACACAAAGTAGGCACGCATTAATCATTCGGTGTTAGTCCGTAATAGCATCAGGCTGTCCTTGCCAAGCATTGAAGATTCTCCCTAAAAGTTCTCTTCAAAATTTGCGATTGCGTCTAATTTGGTTACTGCAACATGTGGGCTTGAAATATACGGTGAGTAAGAAAGGTTTCACCGATAACTGCACCGAATGTACTCACGCACAGTCGCATGATACCTGCACGTTATAAGGATCATAGCGCAAGCGGATATTCATATACATTGACGCTGCCTGCTTCGCACGTGATTTTTGTCACAGGTGGCGCCACCTGTCATGTCGATGGCCACCTTCCACAGAATCGGATTGAAATCCGATTGTTCGTTCTTCACCCGAGCGACGCGGTATCGTTAGCATCTCCCGGATTCGCTTGGGCTTTGTGGTGGGAAATGACACAGGCACTTGGACCGTTTCAATAAAATATAATGCTAAATAAATACGAAATCTATTCCCTTCCAAAGTCTCAATGTTTCTCTACTCTCTTTCGCCTATTATTGGCGACAATTTCCTGTATATATGTGTCAGTGTGCGGCAGCGTGCGCACGGTGTACATGTGTGTTGCAGAGGAGCATTTGCACGGCATTTACAGAAAATTGTCGGCAATAATAAGCGAAAGAGAGTAGAGAAACATTAAGACTTTGGTAGTGAATAGATTTCGTATTTATTTAGCATAAATATTTTATTGAAACGCTCCAAGTGCCTGTGGGGAATGAATTCACGCGTGCGTGCAGACACGAAGGGTGTCCAGCGTGGCAGGTGTTAACGCTCCTTACACTTGCGGGTATTCGCAGATTTAAAAAAAGCTCAATGCTGTCTATAAAGAGATCGCTTTTACTATCCATTAGTGTTGAGAGCCGATAAGTCGATAAGGCTTATAAGGGGGCCGATAAAGAGGGGAGGCTTAACTAACTGCGAGCAAATACGGTGACAATTTATATACATTCACGTATTTCGTGCGCGACCCATCCGCGTGAGTGTACGCGCTCCCACTCGCTGTTGCCAATGGGGTTAGCCGCGCTCTGGGTTAACAGGTTACGTGCCGTTGCCGCCGGGCTTACGCGGGCACGCCGTAGACCTCGGTGTGCAGCTGGCATAATCTGTCTGATGCACTCCCAGACACTACATCGAATGCTTTGTCAGACGCGCTCAAAAATCGCCGCGGTCGGTTTTACATGCGTGCTTAGTACTCTTGTTAGTATGCAAAACACAGCGGAAAACACCGAGCGGCTGGCTGGCTGGCTGACTGGCTGACTAGCATGTTCGCCTGCGGGCAGATGTTACGCACTTCTGTAGTCTGTCGCGAGGAGAGACGGGGTTTTTCTGTTACGTAGCGCGGGCGGGGGATCTTTGCGATCAAGTGTACTGCCGGCGTGCCGTATGCAACACGAACTCTGTTGCGAATAGTAGCGGTGGCTGCGAGCGAGCGACGGCAGGACGTATAGAGAGAGGAATCACGCTGTCAGGGTCAGCCTCCTCCTACCGCCTCCGCGGTGAAAGAGTTAAAACACACCGACAGCACGATTTCGCTACCGGCAGTCGCATCGTCGGCAAACCGGATCGGATTGTTTTTCCCTGAGCGGATTTTTCCCATTCGGCACGTCCGGTCGTCGGCAGCATTCGGCCCGGATTCGTCCAGAACGTTTCGGATTATCGGCTTGCTCCGCTCCTGGAGTCGCGATGGTGTGCGTTGGGTTTCCCGAAACTGTGTTCATCTTCGCTGTAGGGTTTGACTTCATCTCTAAGCTTCATCTTGATCAGCCGGGCATTAGCAAGGTAACGGGATCAGAGGAGACGCAGGTCGCCTACAGAATCGGGAAGAATTTCAACCTCAGGATACCAACAAGGTGAGTGCATCGTTAAAGTTCAAATTGGAAAAAATGAAGTCAGAACCCGGTTACATTTTCGTTGAAATACGCTTCAAAGACGCAGGATAAAATTATTAAAGTTGTTTAATATAATATATAAAGGTAAAGGTAAATATATGTAGCTATTTATTTAACTGCACAATTTGAACTTTAAGTGAGAGTGCGTGGGAGAAGAAGATGAGGCGTGTGTATGGTGATGGTGGGATATCGCTGGCGAACAGTGGACAGAGGGGAAGGCATATCTGAGAGTTTACTCGATGTCATGGCGATAACCTACGAATATAACTTAAAACTCAGATCCATGGAGAGGTGCAGGGAGGATTAGATCTTGTGGACAGACAGTAGCGAAAGACCTGACCGCACGCATGTGCGCCATTGCACTCCAGAAAATACTAGACATATATAGATTAGTTTACAAATAAACAGTACTTTTGTCGTCCGATCTATCTCTCTCTCTCTCTCTTTCTCTCTCTCTCTCTCTCTCTCTCTCTCTCTCTCTTTCTCTTTCTCTCTCTCTCTCT